ACACACTGTGTACACACACACAGTGTACACACACACACAGTATACACACAGTGTACACACACACAGTGTACACACACACACAGTGTACACACACACAGTGTACACACACATAGTGTACACATACACACTGTGTACACACACAGTGTACACACAATAATGTCCACGTTGTTGTTGTAGCTGAGCCCACGCACCCAAGGGAGGGAGCAATGAAAATGAATCTAAATCAACTTAAACTCCAATCCCGCTCTGTGACGTCACCACTCTGCATTACTTCATCGGCGTGAAACGCCAGGGGGAGGTGTACCTCGCTAGTGACGTCATGTTTCAAGGTATTCCACCCCGCTCTTGAGCGTGACGTCACCTCCGCCTGGGTCACTGCCGTTATCGTTCCAGTGCCAATCCTTATTTGGGCAAAGCTACGCCCAGTGACTGGCGGCTCATTAACATAATGTTTTAAAGCCGTCGCGAGTTTATTGCGACGGGTTCAGCACCTATATATCGAATGGTACATTAACATAATTTATTCATACTCTATTTTATTTATTTACGGAGAAGCTCATTGTGGGAGGAGCGTGTCCCGTTTCCCGGAAGTGACGTCATGTCACCTGCTACCGCGTGACGTCACGAGGTAACAGGCAGCTATCGCTTCCTGCACTGAAATCCGAGGTGAGAAATTCTCATTGCGAATGTGGTTGTTGTGGTGGTGGTTGTTGTTGTTAACCAAGGTAGAGCCTCGCTCTCTCTCGTAGGGATGTCAGTTGAGTAGCAGCGAGCATGGGAATCGATGTCCAGGTTGGAACTTTACAACGCGGGGCCTAGCCACGCGGGGCCTTGCCTCCTGCCCTCGCCTGATTGCGTTTACTTTAATTATCTCGCTTAAGTTTAATTTGTCTTCACCCGGCTCGCCACTTTGTAACTTTGTTTTATTGTCAATATTCACGCAGTTTTTATTTTCGTTCTTTTGTTACCAGGCCAAGCCCGTTTGAGCTGCTATACCGCTCTTGTTACCAGAAGCGACCTGCCCACAACAACACAAGGTGGGGCTTTGTCAACGTGTGTGAATGTTTTGACTTAAAACTTTGGTGACTGCAGGAATTAATATTCTTGGTTCTTTCGGTAAAGTCACGTAGATAGAAAATTAAATGAAAATAACAATAAAAATAAACAAATAATTGTAAATAAAGCAAAAAAACTCACGTCGTTTTGATCGCAACACAAGTGGTCTTTATTTAATGTAATTGTATTATCTGTTATTGTTATTTTCTATCTACGTAACTTTACCGAAAGAAACAAGAATACGTGTATCAATGTCTATCGGTCAAAGACGATAGACGGAGAGACGCGCAAACTCCAAATATACAGCAGGCATCAGGGTCGGGATCGAACCCACGACTTCCTGTACACCAGGTGAGGTAGTTAACATCTCACCACGGAGAGAGACACGCAAACTCCAGTTAGCCTCGGTTATGTTCGTTGATCCTCAATTAATTACTTGGTGGAGTGAGGAAGCATTCATGCCAAGCAGATGAAGGTGGCCAGGCGTGATTCTAGACACGCCACCGCCTGTTTACCCAGTGACAGTCTACAGTTTGTGTTTGCAGTAACATCTATTAACTCTAAATTTTGATTTAAAGCTTTCGTGACTGCAGTAATTCATATTCTTAGTTTTTTCGGTAAAGTCACGTTGAAGAGAAACAACAAAATAATAAAATATATATAAAACAATAAAAAATTCTCACGACGTGACTTTATCGAAAAAACTAAGAATATCTATTAACTCTGTTGAACACGGAGGTTATATCATAACAGTAGTTTACTTTTGTTTTCCTCTGGAACTCTTTATAAGAATGGAAACAGGAGGTGAACACAGCACACACATACAGCTGAAGTCGGAACTGTTCATCCCAGCATTTAAGGACATCTGAGCCTGGATTCACACCTCTAAGTTGCGATTGAACGTTAATTTATGCATACTCTTTGGTTCTATTGGGTAAAGTCACGTAGGTGAAAATAAAATAACAAAAAATCACGACGTTTCGGCCACAACACAAACGGCCTTCATCAGGTGAAGGGACGAGACTGTCTGGAGGACAGCGCTGGAGTGAGAGAAGCCACGCTTAGATCACGACCTTTAAGCTGTGTGAGAAGAAAACAAAGTGCCTTGACAAAGGAATTAGCATATAATTTAGCATTGAAATGACTCATTGAACTAGCTAAGTTAAAGTATACACATCCGCAGAGGTACCCCTTGACAAAGGAATTAGCATAGAATCTTTATCCATAATAACAGTAGCGTCTTTATCGGCTGAGAGGATGACTATATCACTTCTGTTTTTTAAATTCGCGAGTTCAGAGCGTTCATTTTTGCTGATGTTACTAATGGGTTTCTTAGCATTCTTAAGAATAGTGGCTATTTCAGCTCTCGCAATGTCTGCTTGGATGTGTCCTACGCCTTTGAGGGCTACATCGACGTGAGAGATGATATCATCTATTGGTATGTGTTTTGGGGTGACATCAAAATTTAGTCCCCTAGCCAGTACTGTTTTCAGATTGTCCGAAATCGGGGTGCTACTCTGATTAATGACGATTTTGTTAACATCTAGTTTTGTTATATGTGGAACTGGGTTCTTCTTTGATAGGTGGTTGAATTTAGAAATCAGGTTAGCTTTACATTTGACTGACAGTGACTCAGCAGAAGAAGCAGTCATGTTGTCTACGTGATTCCAATCAGAAGGTGACATTTTTTGTGTTAACATTAAATGAGCTTGTAGGAGAGTCCTGTCTAAAGTATCGAGTTCAAATCGGAGTAGCCTTATCCTCTCTGAGATTAAAGATAGGCTAGCCTTAAGCAGAATCTGTTTAGAATTCGGAGAAGATACAGCAGCAGAAGTGAGTGTGAAAGCGATGGGTATTACCTTGTGATCGCGGCATCTTTTGAGGAAGGTCAGCGTCTCGATGAGCTGTGACTTCTTGTCCCGTTGTCTGTTAAAAGCTCTAACAGATAGGTGAAAGCCCTCCCCATAGAGGTTATCAATTCTAGATTTAAAGCTTTCGTGACTGCTAGGATCCATACTCTTTGGTTCTATTGGGTAAAGTCACGTAGGTGAAAATTTTCATTTATGCATTTCTGCATAACACAAATAGTATTGTTTTCAACACTCTTTGCTATGTCAGCTGAATTTAGCTTTCATAAATATTCCTTTTGTAGCCAGACAGCTGAAATTGTGTACTCGGAGTTTTGGATTAACATTCATTTTGAAGATACGAGGGCTTCCAGGCATGTTTATAACCATATGCCCTCTCATTGTGTGCCATAACAGCCCTGTGATGAATTTGGGAAACGTTTTTACTACATCATAAATATATTAATATAGACGTGTAAGTCACATGTGACTATATATGCATTCCTCTGTGCCTCGATACTGACGTGTAGATGGTGTGGATATTATTTTTTTCTGTCTGCAGCTGACGCTTCCTCTGATGCTTCCTCCGCAGAATTGATCTGATGGAGCAAATGCACTCAGCGCAGCTCGGTACTACAAGTCAACAATGCGACCAGCGTGCATACAGCACGGATCGGACTGGAAATTTGACACAGCACCAGAGAACTCACACAGGAGAGAAACCCTTCAAGTGCACTGTGTGTGGGAAGGCATTTTCACAGTCATCAAATCTGCAAAGACACCGGAGAACACACACGGGAGAGAAACCCTTCAAGTGCAGTGTGTGTGGGAAGGCATTTTCACAGTCATCTGTTGTTAAAAAGCACCAGAGAACACACACGGGAGAGAAACCCTTCAAGTGCAGTGTGTGTGGGATGGCATTTGCACAGTCCCCACATCTTAAAGAGCACCAGAGAACACACACGGGAGAGAAACCCTTCAAGTGCAGTGTGTGTGGGAAGGCGTTTGCACATTCATTAAGTCTGCAAAGACACCAGAGAACACACACGGGAGAGAAACCCTTCAGGTGCACTGTGTGTGGGAAGGCGTTTGCACATTCATTAAGTCTGCAAAGACACCAGAGTACACACACGGGAGAGAAACCCTTCAGGTGCACTGTGTGTGGGAAGGCATTTTCACAGTCATCTGTTCTTAAAAAACACAAGAGAACACACACGGGAGAGAAACCCTTCAGGTGCTTTTTGTGCGGGATGATGTTTGCACAGTCATCACATCTTCAAGCACACGAGAGAACACACACGGGAGAGAAACCCTTCAAGTGCACTCTGTGCGGGAAGGCGTTTTCACAGTCACCACATCTTAAAGTCCACCAGAGAACACACACGGGAGAGAAACCCTTGAGGTCCACTCTGCAGGAAGGCATTTGCACATTCATAAAATCTTCAAGTACACCAGAGAACACAGAAGCATCAGAAGATCTGCAAGGAGTGGAGTCTGAAATCAGCTTGTGAAAGTCAAAGTGCCGCAATAAGCCCATCCCTCATGAAACACGAACCGGAAGAAAATCCCAGCTTGGACACTTTTAAAGGTATCAAGGTGAAATATGAAGAGGTGATGGTGAAATATGAAGAGGTGATGGTGAAGAGGGAAGAGGTGATGGTGAAATGTGAAGATGAAGATTCAACTCCAAAATCGGACCTTCACATTGATGGAGGCAATGTGAAGCCAGAGGTGAATTCTGACTGAGGCAGAGCGAGGCAACTCCCAGCAATTCATGGAAGTGGAGGTGTGAGTGGACTTGCTCCTAGACAATACAAAGTCAAATGGAGACCCGGTGGATGTGTAAGCTTGAGACGGTCACAGGCCTTTAATGAAAAGAATGTGAAGTTGAACACTCAATTCCTAGGTTCAACCTGCAGAGTAAGAGCGAGCGGCCAGTCTTTGTGGACCCGTGGATTGTGGAGATCTCTGACCAGGAGTGAGAGCCAAGAAGCCCCCAAGCATTCACTATGTTATAATAATTGCATTTACACGGTGCTTGCTTAATCGCCTCGGCAACTCGGAGTTTTGTATCTCGTCTGAAACACTCGAAGAGCATCCCCAAGTAGCAGCTGCCCCTGTGTGGCACAAGGTCGTGGCCCTGCACCGGCCTGCATTTATTTTTTCCGCCTGAGGACGACCGCTTGTGTTACGATCGAAACGTCGTGATCTATTATTTTTTCTACCTACGTGACTTTACTGAAAGAACCAAAGAGTATGTGAACAAGAGGCTGTCAGTAGAGGGCGATGATTGATGTTTCATCTCAGTTTTGTAATTTGTCGCTAATGTTTAGAATTCGCCAGCATGCAAGGGCCTACTCGTTTTGAATGACACAATAGTATGTTTTACATCCACTGTTAAGCAGACGGTGCATATTTTTTAAAATAGCTTTTTAATCAGATGTTATCTGATGCAGTAGATTTCACTGCAGTAATTAAATTTTGTTAAAATTCCAGTCAATAATTTAGAATGAACATCTTCTTTGGTTCTTTCGGTAAAGTCACGTAGAATGAGAATAAAATAATAAATTAATAAAATAACACGATTAAATTCTCACGACGTTTCGGCCACAACACAAGTGGCCTTCAGGTGAAAGGAACAAATCCGTCGGGACGACAGAGCTTCAATGAACGCTGTTAAGATTCGTAGCGTCTTTTAAGCTGGTTTAGAGAGGTGAGGCACCTTGACAAAGGGGTTTACATATAAAACAGGAGAATTTAGCATTGAAATAGCTGAGTGATTAGCTTGTGACTGGTCATAGAAATAGACTGGTCATAGAAATAGCTTTATTGTGTTATTTTATTATTTTTTTATTTTGTTCTCATTCTACATGACTTAAGATGAATCCTTGCAGTCACGAAAGCTTTAAATCGAAATTTAGAATGAACACTTGTCTGATTTTGTGTGTACATGCATCACTTTTTTTTATAAGGGTCAAACATTGAATAAGTGATGTTAGGACAAAGTGCGTGTGTTTTTGGAAGTAACCTGTACAGATAACTCAGGTGAGTCCCGTTGTTCTTGTGATACAGGTCAAAGGGTACTTTTGTGTTTCAGGAAGCATCTGGAGCAACTCATTGGCTTTGAAATAGGAAGCACACTCGGATCATTCATCAGTTACAAGACATACCACCTTAAAGTTACACGCAGAGGAGATACATTCTCTGCAACACGAATTATAATTTTGTCTTACGTGTTGACATAGATTTTGTCGAACTTGGACTAGAAATGCTCCTTGCTGATTCACGTCTGGATGTTCACAACCATGGGTTGAACCAAGCCCCACTGCTGTTGAGACATTGTCCACCAAAACCGGTCCACAGTTGGCTTGCACACACAGTGTACACACACAGTGTATACACACACAGTGTACACACACACATAGTGTACACACACACATTGTGTATACACACACATAGTGTACACACACAGTGTCCACCAAAACCGGTCCACAGTTGGCTTGCACTGAATAAATGCTGCAGTAATTATGGACTCGCACGAAGGCCGTGGGATTTATATTTCGTGTTCAACATTCCTTTGTTTAGTGGAGAGACCGATTAAATTAAAGACGTCTTGTCTGCTGATCTTGTTCATATCTGTGTACATCGATATCCCACATTGCTTGCACGTACACATCACACGCAATTAAATAAATAAAAAATAAGAACGACTTCCGGGGATTGCAAAGATCGAGGAATCTCTTTCAATGGAGCGAGTTCAGTGTGTTCGATTCAACATCTCTCTGTCTCTGTCCGTCTGTGTCATCTGTTTGCCTCTGTGTTTCTCTCTGCCTGTCTCTCTGTCGTCTCTGTGTTCCTCTTGTCTGTGTCTGTCCGCCTGTCCTGTCTGTGTGTGTCTCTCTATCAGCGTCTATCCAACCGTATTCAACGACTGTCAGTAGCAACACGCGCCCGGTCAACTTGCACGGCCCGTGACTCAAACTTGCTCAAAGGAGTGTTTATTTGTAATTTATTTCGCACCGTACGTAGCCAACCGTGATAATCTATGGGTCTCTGTGTGAGTCTCTGTGTATCTGGAACTTATTTCGCACCTTACGTAACCGAACCTGCCCAGGAGGAGCGGCTGGTATCTGTGGAGCTGTGGGCTGGGTAAATCTGTGAGCAGGAGCGAGAGACAAGATCCCAAGCATTCACTACGTTATAAACAACATATTTGCACTTATAAGTCGCTTGCCTAATTGCCTCAGCAACTCGGTGTTTCGTATCGAACCTCATCTCAAACAATCGAAGGGCGCCCCCTAGTGGCAGCTGCCCCTGTGTGGCACAAGGTGGCCCTGCACCGGCCTGCACGTGGACATGAGTCTGTCGGTAGGGGGCGATCATTGACGCGTCATCTCCTTTGTGGAGTTTCTGGATAGTGTTACTGGAATTGCCACAATTTTGACTGTGACACCAACATGCAATGTGCGTTGTGAGTGACACAGTGTTTTGTTTGACACCCGCTGTTAAGCAGACAGCGCATATTGTGGTGAATGTTACTGGGGTAGCCAGATATGCCTGGCGGATTTGAACCTTGAACCTCAGCAATAAATAGCGCATATTCCTGGTTCTTTCGGTAAAGTCACGTAGATATAAAACAAAAAATAAACAATAAAAGATTTAAAAATGAAAAAGTTAATACAAATAACAAATAAAAATAATAAATTTCGATTTAAAGCTTTCGTGACTGCAAGGATTCATCTTCTTTGGTTCTTTCGGTAAAGTCACCACGTAGAATGAGAATAAAATAATAAATTGATAAAATAAAATAACACAATAAAATTCTCACGACGTTTTGGCCATAACACAAAGCCGCTTGTGTTGTGTACGTACACACACACAGTGTATACACAATAATGTCCACGTTGTTGTTGCTGAGTTCATGCACCCAAGGGAGGGGGCAATGGAAAATGAATCTAAATCAACTTAAACTCCATCCCCGCTCTGTGACGTCACCACTCAGCATGACCTCAACGGCATGAAGTGCCAGCGGGAGGTGTAACTCGCTAGTGACGTCATGTCACCAAGGTATTCACGCTCCCCCAACCCCGTCCACAGCGCTCTTGAGCGTGACGTCACCTCCGCTTGGGTCACTGCCGATATCAATCCAGTGGCAATCCTTATTTGGGCAAAGCTACGCCCAGTGACTGCGGTTCATTAACATAATGTATCCGTTGAAGCCGTCGGGTTCAGCAGCCACGCCCCATCCCTCGACATATGGCCAGTTAACATTAAACATAATTTATTCAATTTTGATTTAAAGCTTTCGTGACTGCAGTAATTCATATTCTTAGTTTTTTCGGTAAAGTCACGTTGAAGAGAAACAACAAAATAACAAAATATATATAAAACAATAAAAAATTCTCACGACGTTTCGACCATAACTCAAACGGTCATCATCAGGTGTGTGAGATCAGGTGTGTGAGATTCGTTCATGAGGCTATCCACATATACAAACACAGAGACAATTTCAACCGAGAAGATGGATTCTATCTTAGCAATCATTGGAAAGATTTGATAAATCATTTCAGTTCTTGATTGATTGTTCACGCTTACAGTGCCTTTCAGACAGCATACATAAAAACAAATTTCGTCTCCCCCCTCCTCTTTTCAAAAAATAGATGGACTAGTCCTGGCAAACTGCCATCGTTGCGCGTGACGCAAACGTTATTTTTATATATATAAATAAATATGCCGTTTTCAAAATAAATTTATGCAAACCGACACACCTGATGATGACCGTTTGAGTTATGGTCGAAACGTCGTGAGAATTTTTTATTGTTTTATATATATTTTGTTATTTTGTTGTTTCTCTTCAACGTGACTTTACCGAAAAAACTAAGAATATAATTTATTCAGTTACAGAGCCGCTCTTTACGGGAGGGGCGTGTCTCTTACCCCGGAAGGACGTCATGTTACCTGCTTACCCGCGTGACGTCGCGAGGTAACAGGAGGCTGCCAATCCACGCTTGCACTGAAATCCGAGGTGAGAAATTCTCATGGTAGTCGTGGTGGTTGTTGTTGTTTACCAAGGTAGAGCCTCTCTCTCTCTCGTAGGGATGCCAGTTGAGTAGCAGCGAGCATGGGAATCGATATCCAGGTTGGAACTTTACAACGCGGGGCCTAGCCACGCTCGTCCTTGCCTCCTGCCCTCGCCTGATTGCGTTTACTTTAATTATCTCGCTTAAGTTTAATTTGTCTTCACCCGGCTCGCCACTTTGTTTTATTGTAAATATTCACTCAGTTTTTATTTTTTTCACCAGGCCAAGCCCGCTTGAGCTGCTATACTGCTCTTGTTATCAGAAGCAACCTGCCCACAACAACACAAGGTGAGGCTTTGTCAACGTGTGTGAATGTTTTGACTTAAAACTTTCGTGACTGCAGGAATTAATATTCTTGGTTCTTTCGGTAAAGTCACGTAGATAGAAAATTTAATAAAAATAACATAATGAAAATAAATAAAAAATAAATTGTAAATAAAGCAAAAAAACCCACGTTTTGATCGCAACACAAGTGGTCTTTATTTAATGTAATTGTATTATCTGTTATTGTTATTTTCTATCTACGTAACTTTACCGAAAGAAACAAGAATACGTGTGTCACTGTCTATCGGTCAAAGACGCTAAACGTAGTGATGAATCCCTGCAGTCACGAAAGCTTTAAATCGAAAAATGGAACAGATGTGTTATATTATCTTGGCTTTGTGAAACACAGGTAAAAAGAGGCCTTCAACATTGATTGTGCCTTTGTACCGACAGTTGCTGAGTGGTCCAGTGCCATCACCATCAGAATCCATGGTCAATCCACTGCTGGATGAGGTTCCCAAAAAGCTCTCACCATCTCCCAAGATCCCGAAAAGTATTAATCCACCCAGTACCTGCAGGTGATACTCATCAGCTGATATCATCCCGTCGTCTCGATGGGCATCCTATTGGCCGCATTCCATTCCTTGGCTGTCATTCCATCACTATCCTCAACCAACCATCGGCCAACATTCCATAGCAGAATTCAACCAAGGGAGAGTATTTGAAAGGATGCGATTAATTCACCCACCCAAG